CAGGAGGATGGTGACGGGGTCAGATTTGCCCTTCGGTGCACTCCCTCTAACCATAGGGTGCAACATGGATGAGGGTGGAGATTGCAACAGGACTAGCTTTAGATGTGATTAAAATGATTCAAGCATCAGAAGTTGGTTTTAGTGAATGGAGAGAAGTGTGTAGATCCAAAGAACCAAAACTAAGGTGGTGGGCTCAGTAGGACGCAGGGACCGACTGGATGCGAGGAGTAAAGAAGGAAGGGCTAGACCAGCTCTCTGGCTCTGGTTTATGTGACTAGGTGGATGGTAGTGACATTATCAGACAGGAGCAGAGAAAGGAAAACAGGACTGAGGAGAAGCTGCTTCAGGTTTGGACAGATTAAGTCTGAGTTAGCTGTGGTACACCCCACATACCAAGTAGGTGATTGGACAAACAGGAGTGTGGAGCTCTGTAGACATGGGGGGTGAGAGAGCACATTCATTCACAAATATTTATTGAGTGCCAGGCACTGTTCTAGGTACTGGGTCTCTGCTTTTCATTCTAATAGGGGAAGCTAGGTGCATTCATGTGAGTGCCTCCAGTGGGGGAATTAACAAGGAGTTAGGATGGAGAATGATTGGGAGAATGACTTTGAGGAGATAAGGGACCCAAATTATGAGCTAAGCCACCCCTAGGGAGATCAGGGAGAAGAAGTGTTTTAGGAAGAGAGAAGAACAAGTGCAAAGGCCCTGAGGCAGGAAGGAGGGGGCACCTTTGAGGAACTAGAAGAAGGCTGGTGTGACTCAGGCGTGCTGTACAATGGGGATAAGGGTGGAACACGTGAAAGGAGGTTGGATGGGGGCAAACGCTGATAGATCAGCACTTGATCCCTGGCAGTTGGGTTTATTCTGAGTGTGATGTTCAGCCATAGGGATTTGAAGATATGGGGGTGAATAAGATCACTCAGTGTGTGCAGAGTGAAAAGAAGAGAGAGAACCCATACTCGTTTAAAGGGGAGACCTACCTCAAAAAAGACTAGAAGAAACAACCAGAAAAGTAGAAGAGAAAGCAAGATAATGTGGTAAAGAAATACAAGGAAAGAGAACTTTTTTTTTTATGTTTATTTATTTTGAGAGAGAGAGAGTGTGTGAGCAGGGGAGGGGCAGAGAGAGGGGGAGAGAGAGAATCCCAAGCGGGCTTTGTGCTGTCAGCATAGAGCCCGACGATGGGGTCGAGCCCATAAACCATGAGATCATAACTGAGCCAAAATGGAGTCACACGCTTAACCAACTGAGCCACCCAGGCGGACCAAGAAAGGAGAACTTTAAAGATGTAGGGAATTATTAACAGGCAGATGATGGAGGAAAACACTGAAAATGTAGAATGTGTTTGACAGCATCAAGATGATTGCTCGCCTCCGGGAAAGCAGCCCTAAATTCTCCCTTCTAACCCACACCCCCCATTCAATATCCAGTCAACTCCCCAGATGGTGGAAGCCATGTTGCAGCGGGTCAGGGTCCTGACTCTCTGGTGGGGGTGGGTGGTGGTTGGCCGATAGAAGGATGACCCAGGAGAGAGGTGGAGGAAGAGCAAATGCCCAGTGAGAAGGGTCAGAAAGCACTGGTGGCTGCCTGTGTGTAAGGAATGTGGATGAAAGAGCCACCCCACATCTGTTTGTTAGCTCCGTGGAAGATTATAGGTGTTTGGTTAGTTTGACCAAAAAGGACATCCGGAATTTCAGTGGCAGATGGTGGAAGTCTCTTGAGACCAGGCGAGGGACTGTGCTGTAAGTCTGGCGCCTCCAGATAGGGTGAAGGGAGATGATAGGATACTGATTTGGTGTCCACAGGGTACGGGTACTCCAGCTTGACCCAGAGCAGCGTTGCTATCCGGGGCCACTCTCCTGGAGCAGAAGATGGTGGGTGGTAGAGGCTGAGGTGGGAGCCAGGCCTGCAAGGCGCTTTGTGGGAGAAGGACTGGGTGAGCATGCACGGCCTCCAGCTTACCATCAGGCGTGTGGTGTCCTTTAACAAAACCCCCTTGCAGAAGAAAGAACACCAGATGGAGTTATCCCAGGACTAGATCCTCCTGGAACCCTGTGTACCTAAGACCATTTGGTAGTTATGACAGGTACCTCTGAGCTTAGCACTCAGAAGTACCAGAAATGCTGAGAGCAAGCATGTGTGTTCATACATGGCAGCCGGTTGTGTGCTTTATAGCTTTGTGTTTGTTCTTATGTAATTTATAATCTGTTCAGGCTGTTTTCCCATCTTTGTTGTAAATTCCTGGAGATTAGTCTCCATGTTTTTTTCATCTTCATCTTCCTCTACAGTGTCCTGCACATATCAGGCACTCCTGCAAACGTTCAGGGCTTAAAAATCTGCCAGGGCCACCACATTCCACACTCTCCACCCCGCCTACATCATTCCAGTTACATTTTGTGAGCAGTTGAGAAAATGGCCCGGTGTTTCCTTTGGCTAAAAGTAATGGCATTGCAAAATTGAGTTGTTACTTTGGAACTTGACTGCAGCTGTTTGCATGTGGATATTGAAAGAGGGAGTGGTAGTTTTTATAATTGTTAGGGCAAAGAAGGATTCTGTTTCTAATCTGGGACAACCAGCTGACTCATCAAGTGCCCTGACCTCTTAGGTTTCCATCTTCCCCCTTTGGAAAATGGAAAACTGAGCTCCCAGGTTTACAGACAGCACAAAGCTGATGCTGAGGAACAAATGATTTTCCAAAAAGAAAATAATAGAATAAAAATGCAAAAAAAAATCAACAACTCATTTTGATTTCCTTGTGACCGATTAAATGGTTATGAATTTACCTTCCCCAAAGGAAACTTTTCAGATCTTATAAACTTTTCAGATCTTACAGAGAGAGAAAGGGTCCATTGTAAGAGCCTGGTCCCCTTCCCCCCTTCCACCCCTAGGTGGCAGTAGGAAGCAGAAGAACTGACTGGCATGAAAGTAAAGCAGACGTCCTGTTGTTGGGTCCTAAGATCACGTTTTACTTACACTTCTGCCCTACAGTTCCATTTATTTATTATTTCTTAGTTTTTCTGAGCTAACTTGTGTACCCAGATATGGATTTATTAATCTTTTTTTTAAATTTATTTACTTTTGAGAGAGAGAGAGAGAGAGAGACAGAGAAAGTGCAAGCAGGGGAGGAACAGAGAGAGGGAGACACAGAATCTGAAGCAGGCTCCAGACTCTGAGCTGTCAGCACAGAGCCCGATGTGGAGCTCGAACCCAAAGAACCATGAGATCATGACCTGAGCCAGAGTTGGATGCTTAACTGACTGAACCACCCGGGCACCCCCAGATACGGATTTAGAGAAATATGGACTCAGCCAGGATATATAGAGCACTGTGCAGTCAGCTTTAACAGTAAAGAAACAGGAAAGTCTTGGAAGTGGGGATTCAAAAGGAATGGGAGCATTGGAATTGGGGCTCTGGATTGAGAAAGTAACTCTCCCTGTTTTCTTGCTCACTGTGCATTTGTATCTAGGATGTAGTTTGCTGCTGTGAGCTGGTGGTGCCCAGGGAGTTGCCTTGGGCAGGACCCTCTGGTCAGAGCGCTCACGCACTCACGCTCCAAGGCCTGCTGTGGTGGGTCAGTGCAGCCCTTCTCTGTAGCCAGAGGACAACAGCGCAAAGCGCTGCATGCCATGGATCCTCTGAAACCTATTTAAAGATAATAACGAAAGCTATTATTTGGAACTTTGCAAATAGCACAGTGTAGGTGCTTAGGGTCAGTGGGAGGGAAGGAGGGATGGAATAGGGGCTGGCAGATGGTGAAGGACAAAACATAACAGAAGTAAACATAGGAAAGGAGCAGCACTGTGTTTAGAGGCTTGGTGTAGTAGGCACCTCTGGTAACAGAAGAGTCAGTCATGTCCTAACAGTTGAAAACAAGGCTGGGGAAATAGCGGAAAGATACCATGTTCTTTCTCCCCACTCACATTATTATGTTCTCTTCATGAAACTCCTGCTCCTGAACTCTCATCTCAGGGTGCTTTTTGCCCTGTTGCTTGTATGGGACATTTGTCTTATTCCGTAGCCATGTCTTTATACGTATGTCCCATGTTCTAGAAGACTGGAAGCCCACGAAGACCATGGTAACCACCTCGTTTGTCTTGATATCCACACAACATTTGTCCCTGGCACAAGGTAGACCATTAATAGGATTTACTGAACAAATTTAGTTGAGGGGAATGGTATCAGGGGTGGGGGAGGCAAGAATAACAGTGCAAGACAGACTGGCTGTGTTCAAAGGAATAGTCTTGGTAAGAAGTGGTGGGCTTTGTGGGAGCTGGTGACGGGGCATGGGGGATTGGAAGATGCTTAGGGTTGGCAGGGAGGTGAGTGGGGATGTAAGGGAGCAGCTCTGCATGGGGAGAAGGGGTAGAGGCAGGCAACGGCTCCTTGACAGGCAGGGTGGGGCGTGAAAAGTGGCCCGTGCAACACCCCCCACCAAGGCCTGAGAAAGAGCCTGTAAAGCAGCCATGGCTCCTTCAGCTTAAAGCAATAGGAGTTTTATTGGTTCCTCTAAGTGAAAAGTCCATGGGCATGGGTGGTCTCACATGCAACTAGATCTAGAACTTAGGTGTGATGCCCTCAAGCACATACAGGTATCTTCTGTTCTTTCTCATTGACTCCAGTCTTGGGTACACCCTCAGACTAGGTGGCTGTGGGCAGCATCAGGCTTGTATCCTTCAAAAAGAGAGGACTGCAGAAGTCGAGGGACTGATGTACTGACTGAAGCTAGGCTGTTTTCCTGGAGCTGAGCCAGTCGTCCTGACTCAGGCAAAGCCATGGGACCTAGGAGGAGGAGAGGCAGACCCAGAGGGGAAGCGGGGCTGTGTTCCCAGGAGCGGGGGGTGTAAATTGGATGAGAGAATCAACAGGAGCACACTACAGGGACCTGGGCCCCAGATTTAAGTCACCATTCAAAGTGGCGG